AAGGCCTTGCACGGTCGCCTGGAAAGGGCAAGGCGATGTTAACTTTATTGAGGAGTTTTTTGTCCGTGCTTGAACAGCCCATGATTGTGTCAGGCCCAGAGGCAGCATTTCGAACACTTGTATAGAGGTAAAGTAGCGTCTAGCTCTGAGTCGACCATGGATTCAGTGCAGATACGACTGCGGTAGATCGATGACAGTTGCTAATTATAATTCTCAACACAAGTATCAATAGCGCCAGATTCCACCAGATCGCCTACCGCCGAAACGGTGGGTGTCTGCGTTGGCATCACTTAAACTTGAGTGCATGAGGGACTGGAGAATCCGAGTCCACAATCGCAGTCCCCCCTCCCCCCGTCCTTACCCACTGCTGTGTATCTCCAGTCTTCCTAGTCCCACGACAACCAAACTTTATCCCCAATCGCTATTATCATGAGAGGTTGGCGAAGTGCTCTATTGATCATTGTGGTCACAGTATTAGGTCTAAACGATCCTCCTGTTGATACTCGTGGCATTTATTCCAATCTTGGCCTTAAGTTGGATAGTATTCAATTATATATTGGGGGTTATTACGCGACTGTAAGACTGCCAACTTTGATAGACGGTGGCAAGATGGCCATGGACATGATGGGAGAGAGAGAAGCGAAGTTTGATTGACTATGGGCTTTGCGAACCTGCTGCTATGGAACCTGCTGCTATGGAACCTGCTGCTATGGAACCTGCTGCTATGCGTTCAATTTTTTTCGAAGAAGAGCGTACTCCGATACCGTTTAGAGCTTCGTGGGCCCCATTGTATAGCGCAGGACATTTATCTGATGACCAGACAGAATTTCCACGAGAGCAGTGAATGTGATTTTCAGCTGTTCCTCGTCCGTATTAATCGTGCGATCTGGTCGGTTCTCCACACCATAGTCTGACAGCAGAATTGTGAGAAAGTGACGAGAGAAGGTTGAATGGAAGCCAGAGGTCATGGCATCTAGTGTCTGTAGCTCCGAAGAAACTATGTTTTCACTGCCGCATTTGAACGTCCGCTCATATTGCCTGCTCGCCCAGTGTATACCTCAATCATAGGATCCCTGCTCGCGTTGGGAAAGAAAACCGTCAGATGCACTGACTGGGCAATCGGAGTGCTTCTCACCGGTCACAACCCCCTTCCCCTGTGTTGAACCCATACACACTACTACGGAACCCCGGTTCAGTGCATCGTCCTGGAATTTGAGCCAACCAGCACAGATATGGCCGAGCCCAACAGCCCGTCTCCATTACAAGCGCCGCGGTAGCTCGCACTAGTGGGTTGGATGATTCACGAATTGGATCTATGGGACCGTGCCGCTTTATCGTTCATCAATCCCGGTTAGCCGCATTTATACTCTTTGTGCCCTGTCAAAAGTGGTGGGAGAATAGGCTCGATCCAAATTTCTGACACGACTACCCGTAGAGAAATTATATATTCACATTACCTCCCACATGCAGCACAAGCCATGACCCAGTTATGGGCGCTTCCAGACTTCGATGTAAAAACTGTCGGTAAGTAAAAGATTCAGATCATGAAGTAAAGTATACTAATCTATTTCCAGGGCAACCGACTCTCGATGTGACAAGACCAAGCCTTGTGGAATGTGCTCTCGTCATGGCCTTGAAGACTGTGCCTACGACCAATCACGTCCCAACCATTCTTGCGACTCCTGCAGGTAAAACATTAGAAAGCTGTACGATATCATAGGACTAACCGGTTTCTAGCCATGTTGGACGACATTCACGATTCAATGGTCAAACTCTCTGTTCCAAGTGTGCTAAACCAATGATACTAGCACGACGCAGGCCTACTTTTAAGAGCTGCAGGTAAGCGGAAGTTAGGGTCTTATGGCTTCTTGAACTCAATAAAATGCAGTGGTGGGATAATCGATTGTACACCTGTAAATAAACAAAGATTCGACAAGGAGCGAGAGGAGACATCCGATGCAACCCCCCGTATTGCAAAACTACCAATATGTCCCAATACGGGTTTTGTCGCAATACAAGGATCACGAAACACGAGTCTCCTCACAAGGCCAGAGGCATCAAATATCTCACAGACTTCAAGACAGCCACTAAACAGAATGGAAGCTCCAATCTGGGCCAAAGCACTCTTCCAGGCTTGCCATCAAGTTGATACTAGCCTTAAGCAACTCAATGAACGCTTGATTCAGGTGGATAGGGGAAGACTTTCGTACCCGGACATTTTCTCTGAGTGCATGCAATCACCACTCCTTGACCCAGAGCTGTACAAAAAACTCGAAGAGGCTCGTAGCGTTGAAGCGGTCGTTGACCACGAAAGCAGAACAATTACAGCCGACGCTATGCCACCTCTCAGTGCGATTATTCAGAGACTCGATCATCTTCGTAGCAAGCTGTACAAACAACCGAAATAAGAGCATTACTTCTTCATTTTCTAGATTACCCTATACATATGGAAGCTCCCCCATATCTTTACTTATACTTTCTCATTTTGTACTTGTCTTGTTGAAGTTCGTTTGACGCAACGATCTTGTATGTAATTGGTGTACAAATCCTTCTGGTATCAGTCAGGTTGGTCAACCAACAGGCGTTGTAGTAAACGTAAATCCGGCAGCGAGCCACTGCAGCCTTCCCCGTCGAAAGAGTCCCCACCAGATGGTGCAATCGTAAACTTGGTGGTTACCCTAACAGCAGATTTTACGCCACCTCCCGTGGTCACGATCGTAACTTGGATAACGCAGGTGGGCTAGCTTTGCATCATTGGGCCCTGATTCCCCCAGACATTATTGAGAGTCACATGGAATAGAAATGACGTGTTTTGACTTGCTGTAACACAGTTTCTGATAAGAGAATCTGTTGTGTTCTTCTAATGGCTCCTGATCCCCGAGACTGTCCTAGCTGCTCTCTTTGTAGAGAGCATGATCTGTGTATTGTTACGCTACCAAGCCTAGTATACACTCATCGTGGATTGCTTTCATAGGATGGGAAGCCACGTTGTTGCAGACGTTTGGTATCACAATTTTGCGACGACAAAATGATATTGGATCTTTCTAGGTCTCTGACAGAACCAAAGCCAGGGCATTGCAGGGGACAAGGGCATGGTAGACTCATCCGATGGGAGGCCAGTGAGCTGGCGTCCGGCGATCGAGTCGCGATAATTGACCGGTCAAGTACTTGTAACTCATTCTCTACAACAGGGGATAGTCTCATTGAACCGAGTAAGTGGCTTTATGCATAGCCAAGGATAAAAACATTGCCGGGTGCGTAGTCATGCGACTTCGGTGGACGCCAGTCACAGCATGATATTCGTGACGTGCTCGAGACCTGACTGGGAGTTTGACATTGGTTCTGATGCAAGCCCGGGGGATCCACTAGCAATGTACCTCCATCGTATGGGCAACATCAAGGAAGAGCCATCCACTAAGTCGCCGCCTGGTATCGGCTAAACTGGTAGGCCATGGATACTGAGCCATGGAATCGCAAGGACCTTACGCACAACGCACAGGCTATCCTTGCTCAACGGTTCACGCAGCGGCTCGCAGACCCATATCTTACTAGGCAGGAGAGTGAAGAGCTTCCTGCGCGCTCTCATCACTGCAAGGTATAATGCAGTTTATCGTCAAAATGCCACGCAGCGTTTCAATCTGGGAGCTTCGGTAGAGTAAAGCGTGACAAAGTTGGTTGACAGTCCTGTCTAGTCCAGCTAAG